TCTCTCTCTCTCTCTCTCTCTCTCTCTCTCTCTCTCTCTCTCTCTCTGTCTCTCTCTCTGTCTCTGTCTCTGTCTCTGTCTTTCTTTCTCTCTTTCCTCAAATGTTCAGATCTTCTGGCTTTGCCTCTCAAGTACTGGAGTTGCAAGTGTGCCCCCATGCCAGGGTGTCCATTTACTCTCCTGTGAGGACTTGGCAGCAAGTCCTTTTCTTGTTTTGTCCATGTTATTTAGAGATGAGAACTCCCTCTGGAAGAATGCTACCTTTTCAGGAGACCTATGTTTGGGTCTTACCTACCCAATCTGACCTTCATTAGAGCCCTACTTCCACCTACAATGTCAAATCTTTTATTGTTGACAATTATAATAGGGTTCCCCAGAACAATGGGATGACAGGTGCAAAGGCCTCACATACCTAATAGTCCTTGGTATTTGTGAGTTTCTCTCTTGTTTTTGTTTCATAAAGGATTTCTTTTTTAAAATAAATGATACATACATACATACATATATATGTACACACACACATATATATATGCATATATACATACATACATACATACATATATATATATATGCATATATATATATATTGCCCACATGTATGCATATATGTCTATATGAGGGTGTTGGATCCCCTGGAACTGGATTTACAGACACTTATGAGCTGCCATGTGGGTGCTGGGAATTGAACCCAGGTCCTCTGGAAGTGCAGCCAGTGGTCTTAACCATGGATCTGTCTCTTTAGCCATTGTAGAGGAGTCTACAAACTATACTTGTATTCAGAGAACATCTGAGCTTGTTTCAATTAGCTTCCAAAGCACTGTCAACTGCCAACCTTTCATTTCTCCAAATATGTACCATCGGTATACCTTAAGGCTAATAAAGTTATTTGAAAAGGATTTTAACTGAGCACAGCCCAATCATTCCTCTGCCTTCAATTTAAAAAGAAAAACTGAGACGGGCAGTGGTGGTGCACGCCTTTAATCCTAGCACTTGGGAGGCAGAGACAGGCAGATTTCTGAGTTCAAGGCCAGCCTGGTCTACAGAGTGAGTTCTAGGACAGCCAGGGCTACACAGAGAAACCCTGTCTCAAAAAACCAAAAAAAAAAAAAAAAGAAAGAAAGAAAGAAAAGAAACAACAAAAAAAAACCCCCAACCTGCCTTGAGTTAATAAATAGTCTGCTTTTAGTAAAAAGGAAGTGACTTTATGAAGAGCAACAGCTTCACTCGTGTGTACTCCCAAATGCACACAGGCTCAGCCCTTGAAGTATGTCTTTCTATTTAGTAAATAGCTCTGCTCTTGTACACATAACTTGGTTCCCTGGGAAGACACATCTCTTGCATTTAACACATGATGGCTACCATGTACATAACAATCTTTCTTTTTTAGTTTTTAATCTTTACTCCAACAGTGCATGGTTTCTCAGTGCTCCCTGAACCCACACAGCCAAATATCTTGCCTGACACAAAGATCCCTATCATGTTATCATCTGCTTTGTCTTCTGGCATCTGTGACTGTGCACGGTGAGATATTCTTTCCCCACCCACCCCAGGATGGACGGTATCTTACGACCCCTAGGCAGATGCATGACTGCTAATCTTATCTACAATGACCACAAATGGGGTCCAAGGCCTTTTCTCACCCGCTTCTGTGCATTTTACAAACATCCAAGAGACTGGTTTACATTCCAGCTGTTTTGGGGAAATATTTCCTTTGTCACCAAGAAGAGGAATCAAAGGACCTTTCTTGTCTTCTAACCTGGGAGTTATGTTGTCTTTTCTCGTCATTTGGGAAGCTCCATGCTATTTGTTATCTACCTCATTCAAAGACTGTACTATATTTCCTGTATATTTTGCCACAGCCAAAAATCTGAGATCTTGGGTCTCAGCCCTATAATTTACTAGCTCTAACTGTAGGCAAATTATTTTGAAGTGTTTTTGTTGTCAAGCTCTAAAAATGAGGACAATAATACTGTCCCTGTCTACCCTGCCACGGGATTAGTTATGACAAATGAAAGAGCGTTGCTGAACAGCCCTTAGAATCAGAGGTAGGAAGACATTGAGTTCAAGGCCACCCGACAAGACTCCATCTCAAAACAAAACAAAGCAAAACAAAACAAAACAAAACAAAACAAAACAAAACAAAACGCTAGGCTTTTGGATCTCCTGAGGTGTTAGCTTGGTGAGGAGGAGGGCTTAGTATCAATTGCATGTACTTGAATTAAAGTAATACTTAGTTGATATCTTAGTTGATATCTTTATTGCACAAACAACGTACACCCTATTACAGTCCTGAATCTTACTAAGTTTATTTTTGCAGAGGTGCAAAGGAGTGACTATTAGATATTATTAAACATTCACAGAAGCATCCATAACAACGTGTTTTCCTTCCACTTGCTTTGTATTGTGAGTAGACATTCAGGTTCTTGGTACTCTAAGAACGAATGAGGCTGCTTATTCAGATTGCAGTTGACAGCCTGAGCTCCTCTCGCTTCTTGGGTACCAGCTGTTGGAGGGAAAGGTGTAAGGAGATTCGTCTCCACTCTGATGATTCAGTCTTCCCTGACTCTCACCTCTTTTCTTTGCACGACACAGTTCTTTCATGACGAATCATTGAGGACTCATAAACTTTATTTCTGTGTTTGCACCTAGGCTCTACAGGGGCCAGAGCAAATCCTACTAGAAGTTTCCGATGGCATCTCAGCCTTTGATCAGGCCGCAGAGACTTTAATTTTAGACGAGTGATTTGAGAGCAAGGACTTTAAAGTCTCAATAAGAGACACGGAACACAGTGGAAAACTATCACAAAGTCTGCTACTTGGGCAGAATATCATCCTTTGAGGCATGAAGCAGTGAAGACTTTGAATGCTAAATAAAGAAGTTGTCATTCAAATCAAGAATAATAATATATATTTAAACTGCTGTCAGATATGCTGTGAACTTTATTAGGCAGTAGATCTTGAGGACATAGTGAAAAATTTAAGGCCTAGATTTTAGAGAGGTCCCACATGTAATGCCACACAATTTTGTTGTTTTTCACACTTACCGTATTTAACTTTAAATTAAAAAATGGGAGCTGGGGAGATGGCTCTGTGGGTAAAGCTCTTCTGTTCACAGGTGAGGACTGGAACTTGACCCCAGCATCTACATTTTAAAGAATTCAAACAACAAAGAAAGAACTGGGTGTGGTGGTGGGGGCGGGTAATCTTATCTCTGGAGAGGCAGGGACAGGAGGATCCCCAGAGGCTTGCTGGCCAGACACCCTAGTCCACTTTGTGAGTTACAGGCCAATGAAAAAAAAAACTAATAATTTCAGTTCTAAGCAAGATGGACAGCTCCTGAAGAGTAGTACTCCGGACTGACCTTTGACCTCCACATGCATACCCACCTGCATGTGTACATTCCGTGGAACCAGTATGGACACAGACACTCAAAATCGGGTGTGTGCTCACCTTTCAAGATTCTATTAATGTTCCCAAGAAAAAAGACATTTTCTTCTCACTGAACAAGCATTCTGGAAGAGCTGGGGGCCACCAGGAAGACAGTTGCATCTAAAATAAGGCAAGCCAAAAAATGATCAAGTCAAAGACAAGATCAAATACAGTCAGGACAGTTTTTTTTTCTTTTTTTTTTCTTTTTTTTTTAATTTTGTAATTATATTTATGTACAGAAAACGAAGTGTACATTATTCTTTAACCCAGTTTAGTGGCGAGTTCTTTAGCCTTTGCTTTTTCCAGCTTGGCAATTCGGGCCACAGACTTAGGACCCAGGACGTTGCCTCCCCAGTGGCGGCGGATCTCGTCATATCTGTCATTATAATTGGTCCTAATAGCTTCCACCAGCTTAGCCAGAGCACCCTTGTCTTCCGAGTTAACCTGTGTGAAGGCAACAGTGGTGCATGTCTTCCTGTGGACCAGGCGCCCCAGCCTGGCCTTTCCCTTGATGATGCAGTAGGGCACACCCATCTTTCTGCACAGGGCAGGCAGGAAAACCACCAGCTCAATGGGATCTACATCATGGGCAATCACCACCAGCTGAGCCTTCTTGTTCTCCACCAAGGTGGTGACTGTATTGACTCCTGCTCGGAGGACAGGTGGTCTCTTAGTTGGGACGTCTCCTTTGCCAGCAGCTTTCTTCTCAGCACGGGCCAGTAGCCTTTGCTTCTTCTCTTGCTTTGTCTCTGGCCTGTACTTGTGGGCAAGCTTAAGCAGTTGAGTAGCTGTTTGCCTGTCCAGAGCCTGGGTGAACTGGTTAATGGCAGGAGGTACTTTGAGTCGCTTATAGAGGATGGCTCTTTGCCGCTGCAGCCTGATGTATCGGGGCCATTTAACGAAGCGTGTTAGATCTCTTTTGGGCTGGATGTCCTGCCCAATGCCGAAGTTCTTGGGCCTTTTCTCGAACAGAGGATTGACCACCTTTTTGGCCTCCTGCTTCTTGACGACGGCGGGGGCGGGGGCCACCTTCTTCCCCTTGGCCTTCTTTCCTTTGGGCATTTTGCTCGGCTGGAAGAGAGAGCTTCTTTTTTTTTTTTTTAAAGATTTGTTTATTTTAATTTATGTGAGTACACTGTGGCTTTCTTCAGACACACCAGAAGAGTGCATTGGATTCCATTACAGATGGTTGTGAGCCACTGTGTGTGGTTGCTAGGAATTGAACCCAGGACCTCTGGAAGAGCAGTCAGTGCCCTTAACCACTGAGCCATGTCTCCAGCCCAGTCAGTACAGTTTTCTAGCAACATTTTCAAACAGAATCTTTGGGCTGCCTTCTTGTTGATTCCAGCTTTTCCTGGGCTTCAGTACTCCCGACCCTACAGTGCTCTACCACATCCAACAGAGGAGCAGAATATCCTGTCATCCTCATTCCCCTGGGAGCTCTAATGGATGAGCCGCTGAGGTTTGTTAGACTCTAAACGGGGCAGCTGGACTAGTGTGTTGCTACCCTTCTTCATTTACATTCATATAATTTCAGCATGGACCTTTACTGCTAATTTGACATCACCTTCTGTACTTCATAAATACAATACTCCCAAATTATATTTGTATATCCTAATTATTTCTCTATTATTATTTCTCTATTACAATATCTTATCCTTATATCAATTTTATGCTATATACTTACATTAACCGTGTTCTACTACCATGGAACTAATATACAAAGGTGCTAAGTAGGTGATGATTTAGGAAGTAGCAAATCCAAGAATCTGAAACCAGTTAAGTTACACAAATTCTATTGTGAACCATTAGCGTGTTCTGCCAATACAATGGGACTCTGTAGGGCATAATGGGAAATGGCTGTGTTGTAGAATCCTGGACACCCATCCAAGACCCACCTCTGCTCCCTTCTGACTTTGTGGCTTGAGCATAATATTGAATTTCTCTGACACTTCCGTTTCTAGATGGAGAAAGGGAACAATAGAATTCACATTCAAATTTTCTTGTAAGGAAGATAAACTAACATATATAAAGCCCTGTCACCCAAGTGTAGAACTTCCTTCCGGTGTGTGACTGTTTGGCTGGGTGGCAGAATGGAAGGCACTTTTGTGTAAAGAGCCTTGCACAGTTGCTCAGCTGCCCTCCTGACCCTGTATGAGGACACTTGCACCTCGAGGCAGCATCAGACAGATTGGCCCACTGTCAACAGAGTTGGGAGGTGCTTAAGATTAATATGGAACCAAGAAGCAAAGGTGCCCATCACCATCCCATAGAGGCACCACAAGCACAGTGGACAAGGGTTCCTCAGATTTACAGCCTTTCGTGGGAGGCAACCTGTAGACTGAGAAGTCAAGGCTAGTTAAGTAGTGGTTCAGGAGTGGGAGCTATGTCCTGACATGTGACTGCATATGATATGCTCACGTCCTATGTAAGTGTAACTTATAAAGACTGCAGAAATCACCACGGATGTTTTTATCTTTTACATGTCGGGTGAAAATGAGTTTCAATCATTATTTCCTCTAGATGTTCCTCAAAATGTGAATTTAGACCTTTGTTTGTGTCTTTGTGTGGACAATTCTTTTTAATTCTACCTATAATAAAAATGAGTTTGACAGCCCTATTCGTTTATTTTTCCTTCTAATTTTGTAAACATCAGGAAACATGTTACATTGAACATTGTCACATATAAGGGATTATATCAGGAAATTCGCATCTGTTCAGGATACCACAAAGATTGAACTGGCCCTCTGGGGGAAAACAATCATATTTCCAAGCATTGATTACTGAACCAGCAACACTTAAAACATTTGTCTTTCCAATGCTATTGGCCAAAAAGAATTTGTTGCATTGGGAGACTATTTACAGAGAAAGTATTAATAATATTATGAAATAATTTAAAAGTAGGCAGTAAGTGAGATACGTCATGTGTCAGAGATTGTGTAGGCATAAATTCATTATAATAAAATTCAGCATATGAAAAACAATGGCTGCCAATAGACAGTGCTTGGCGGCTCCTCTCAGTTCATGAGCATGAAAATGAAAGTGGTGTGAAATTGCAGTGGGAGGGGCTTAGCTAGATATCTGAGAAAACTTGCTAATTGTGAATTTTGCTGGTCTCTTTTTAAAGAGGTACATAGAAACTTCTAAGAATGGATCTAAATATTTTCCTTGGGGATGCATAGCAGAAGTTGTCCCGGCTAGTTGTGCCAACTGGACACAAGCTAGAATCATCTGAAAGGAGGGAACCTCAATTGAGAAAAATACCTCCCTAAGAGATACACAGCTGTAGTTCATATTCTTAATTGGTGATTGATAGGGGCGGGACCAGCCTCCCCTGAGCGCCCATGTGGGTGGTGATATTTATTCCTGTGCTCTTGGACCTGGGTTTTATAAGAAAGCAGTCTAAGCAAGCCAGGGGAAGCAAGCCAGTAAGTACCACCCCTCCCTGGCCTCTGTATCAGCTCTTGCCTCCAGGTTCCTGACCCATTTGAGTTCCTGTCCTGTCTTCCTTTGGTGATGAACATCAATGTGGAATTGTAAGCAGAATAAATCCTTTCCTCCACAACTTGCTTTGGGTCCTGGTGTTTAATCACAGCAGTTAGTAAGTCTGTCCAGTCTCATCGACATTCATAAGATTGGATTCTGGGGATTTTTCTCTAGATGCATCAGAGAGACAGTTGACACGTCTGTCTATCTGTCTGATCTGTCTGTCTGTCTGTCTACGAACACACATGTGCACGAACACACACACAGTTTGTATTTGAATACTGGATAGATATGACCTCTGATAACAAAAACCACAATAGATCTCACAGCATACTGGACAAAGCTGTGTTGGAAAATAAGATTGAAGATACTTTGTGAACATGCAACGTGAGAAAAGAAAGATATTCTTAGCTTATAAAAATTAGATTCTGTCTCTTATAGACTGGGAGAGCTCCCCAGAGGAGGACAGCAGACAGTGTGGAGTTTTCCAACCTTTCCCTGTGTCTCTGAATAAAGTATTTTAACAACAGCAGCAGCAACAATAGCAAAATTTAGATACTGACTTTGAGGTTAAGTGAAGCAGTATGTAAATCATAAAAAAATCTCTATGAACACCCCTTTCCATATATTAAAAAATATCATTTGAAAAACTATCAAATTTATAAAATAGAAAATCCGAATAATTAGTAAAAAGCAATCAACGGGAACACAAGCTCTCTGCCCTTGTATCCAGATGAGCAAGAGAAGGCTTAGGAAGGCAAGTGGGGTGCTCAGGCAAAACCAGGCAAGGAATCTCTGGTGGTTGCTGGGCTCCTGTTGCTTACAGGCCTTCTGTGCACCCACTGCCAACTATTCTGTATGAGACGCTCGTTACATCTGTCAACAGCTGGAAGTGTTGGTTCCTGAGACAAACAGCTGATTTCCTCTCTAGGAATCACCCTCTTTCTCTAGGCATTGTCCTTTGCCAAAGGGAGGCTCCTTGTGTAAGTCTGCGCTTCCTCCCCAGGGACAGCTTGCATTCAGTGACCGATGGCTGTTAGTATTGAGAACAACTCAAAGAACCAAACTTCTGGCCTAAATTCAGAATTCCTTAGGGGCTGTACCAGCTCCGGAGTTCTCTAGGAATCCATGGAGGGCTTTGTTTCTATTGCTTCACAATTGGATGGCACCATCTGACCAGCTTTGGTTTCTTAGTCCTTCATAGGCAGGTATGACTTAGTATAGTCAATATAAACTTTCCAGCTTTACAATGGTGCAGAACAGTAGATGCTCAGTAGAAACTGTACAACAGTTTTAAATTATCATTTCTCAGGTCAGCAACAGCCAACTGATAAACTCTTGTCTGCAAGAGTTCCTTAAAAGGTTACTGCAAGCAATTGGCATTTGAATTTGCTTCCCAAGGACTTGGAGTATGGTAGTTAGGGCCACTGGTGAACTGAGGAAGACAGTTCTAGGTGGAAGTGGGTTATTCATTAGTCAGCTGTCTATGAGGATGTCATTATTGGTAGTTGTTCTTAATATATCAACCATCATTTATTGGTTCAGTTATTGATGCTGAGTTTCCTTGACTTTCAAAAGAATTACATAGGAATAAATTCATCTAAAATTGAAATATTATAATTCAAATGAATATAATTTTACTACTTGATGAACATCATGTCTGGGTAACACAATATACTAGAAACTATCCATCTTTATTCCTGTGCTTGCAAGGGTGCCTGGGAACTCTAGTTTATTGCTTGAAGCTAGCATCCTAAGAGTTTATCAGTAGGGACCTGGGATAAGATCAAAAATTTAAAACCGTTGTATAGTTTCTACTGAAGTTCTGCACCATTGTAAAGTTGGAAATTTTATATTGACGATACTAAGTCAGAAGCTATTTGCCCTTTCACTTTTGAATACTTACCATGAGTTTTCTGGCACTACATATACCTGTTGGCCATTTACCAGTCCTTGCAAATATAATTAGAATAGACATAATTAGTACTCAGTAAATTCTAACTCAGTGCCTTTTGTTTGTAGAAGAGATCTGTCACAAAGGGAATGCCCAAGTATGAGATTCTGATACAGAGTGCTAGATGAAATATATATATATATATATATATATATATATATATATATATATATAT